CAATGAGAATAGTAATTTTACCACCATTAGAGTGTTTTAAAAATAAAGAGTAATCAGTCTGAGCTTGGAGGAATCATCTTCCCTTAACAGCTTGAGTAAACTTCTCAAACCACTCTCTAGGGATTGTTTAAGACCATAGAGAGACTTCTTCAACTTGCATACTGAACCGTCTCCTTTTTCAAAAGTAGGTGGTGGATCCATATAAACTTCTTCATGTAGATCACCATTCAAGAAGGCATTCTTTATATCTAATTATTGCAAGGGCCAACCAAGATTGGCAGCAAGTGATAAAAGAACTCGGATAGTGTTAAGCTTGGCAACAGGGGCAAATGTCTCCTGATAGTCTATCCTATGAGTCTGAGTTAATCTCTTAGCAACATATCTGACCTTATACTTGTTGATGTTGTTATCTGCATTAAACTTTATTGTGAACACCTACTTGTAACCTACTATTTTCTTTCCTTTGGGTAATGCTACAGACTCCCAAGTTCTATTTTTTTAGCACATCCATTTCTTCAAAGACTGCATTCCTTCAATTTGGATCATCAAGTGCTTCTTGAATATTTTTGGTATTTTTGTACTGTCTAACATAGTGTTGGAAACACGAAAACCTGGGGACAACTTTTCATACGTGATGTGATGAGTAATAGGATGAGCAGTACAAGATCTAGTACCATTTCGGAGAGCAATAGGAAATCTAGGTCGGCTGTATCAATGTTTTTGAAACTAAGACTTGAATCAGAATCCTGGCAGTCTAACTGTTCCTGAGGTGATTCTCGCCTGCTGTAAAACTTTCCCCATTTACCAGGAGGGTCTCCATTATCTGACACATTAGCTCCCCTTGTCTTTTGCATAATGACTCCCCCTGTCTCCAATGGCAAAGACAAAACAATAGAATTATTTGGTTTCCAAGACTTATCTTCATCTACCCCAATAGACTCCCCCTGAAGAGAAGTCGAAGGAAAAAAAGATTGTCTCTCATCAAATGTGACATCCATAGAAACAAAGACCTTACGAAGAGAAGATGAGTAACACTTGTAGCCTTTTGGTTAGGAGGATATCCTATGAAGACACATTTAATAGACTTAGGATCGAGCTTGGACCTTTGATGGGGATGAACATGTACAAAAGCCACACACCCAAACAACTTGGGAGGAAGGAAAGAGTGAGCACAGAAAGAAAGAAAGGTGTGGGTAGGACTAGATAAAGGAGATTGAAAATTTAGGACACAAGAAGGCATCCGATTAATGAGGTATGTTGCAGTCAAGACAAGTTTCCGCCACAGATATTTAGGGACATGCATGGTAAACATAAGAGCTCGAGAAACTTCAAGGAGATGTCTATTTTTTTTTTCCAGCCACCCCATTTTGTTGAAGGGTGTAAGGACAAGAACTTTGATGAAAAATACCATGTTGGATGAGATAGTTTTTGAGAACAGAATTAAAATATTCAGTAACATTGTCAGTTCAAAGAATTTGGATAGAGGTCTGAAACTGAGTTTGAACTATTGCATGAAAGTTTTTAAAAGTGGATGTAGCGTCAGACTTATTCTTTAGAAGGTATACCTAACATACCCTAGAGTGATCATATATGAAAGTTATAAACCAACGAGCACCAGAGATATTTTTTTCACGGGCTGGACCCCATATATCACCATGAATCAAGGTAAATGGAGAAGAATCATGATGAACTCTAGGAGGATAAGAAACACGAGAATGTTTTGCAAAATGACAAATATCACAAGAAAAAGAACTAGGATTTATATTGATAAATAAGTTTGGGAACAACTTCTGAAGATAAATGAAATTTGGGTGTCCTAACCAATGATGCCACAACAAAACATCATTACAATCATAAGACAAACATACCGAGTGGTTCACAAATTTTTTTTCTTCACAAGGATCTTTTTCAAAATAATAGACCTCTTCTTCCTCTCTAGCACTACCAATCATCAACCCCAAGTTGAGCCTTCGAATAGATAGGAAAGAGGGAGACGAGCTGAATGATACATCTCTGAACCGGAACAGAGCACTGTAGGGAGGCGTGTGGCTTGCACGCATTATATGGTGGCTGTGCGTGGTCGCGTGTGGGGAGGACGCTCTGTCCTTTCTCTGGCTTGTGGCTTAGCAGAATTCGGTGGTCCTTTCTTGGAACTTGTAGATAGGCTCCTTCTGTTTCAAATTGTGTGGGTCTTGGCCGAAAATGTCGCCGGAAAAATTTTCTGGCGGCTACTAACGGTGGTTTATGGAGGTGGAAGGCTGGGATTTTTCTAATTTTTGACTTCTGCATTGATTGACAGCCTTACTTTGCTCTTGGGACTTTCTAGGAAGGGAAAATAGCCTTAACAATGGCTGAAGGTTGAGTATACCGGCGATGTGCCACCGGTTTGACGGTGGTTGTGGTGGCTGAGTTTTCTCAGGACCAACCTGCTCTTGATACCATATTGTAAGATGTAAGACAAAAGGTTTTTTGATTTGACATTATTTGATTTACACAGAAAGGGTATATGATAAGATCCAAATTACAGATTCAACAAAGAATAACATAACACAAGTATTTTTGTCCAAGAAAGAAATGAAATGCAGAAAAAAAAGTTATTGCAATGTGATAACTAGAACAGCCAAAGGTGCAGCACATTCGAGAGGTGCGCTTTCTCCCGAGTCCAATTCCAAAATCTAGTCTCCCCCTTCTCGTTCCTCATTTTCTCTATTTATTCCCACTTCATGATTTTGTTCCATGTTGCTAACAGAATCCTCCTTCACACCTTACATAACATTCTTTTCTAACAACCTTGCTGACTAGCATTAGAGAATAATCCTCTATACTTTTTTCTAAATTGCACCCTTATTGTGGGTATCCTATCAATACTCCCCTCCAAAACACTCACCTTGCCCTCAAGGTGAGGTTCAGACCCTAAGAACCTTCCATCAGGATCCTATTGCTTGAATTGTAAAGACCCACATATACTTGAAGTATGATAACTTCCAATTGCAGAATTACTTGAAGCAAATAAGGTAAAAACAAAAATTACAAAATCAATTTGCATAATGTGAATCAGCACCACTATTGCATTTGCAAACGAGTTATGTTCATAAATGAAAACCCTTGAAATCCAATCATTCTCACTTCTTTGAGGCATTTTGTCGAACACCTTCTGAGCTGCATAATCATCAGGCGCTGTTGTGACTTCCACTAACGTGCTTTTCAATCCTGATTTGGCATTATTGACACTAGATAAAACCATTTGGGTAACAATTATTAGTTCCTCTTTTGTAACAACATTATCCTTTCGCATAGAAATGAACAAAAACTTCATAAATTCACTTTGAAAATTATAATTAGCCAACTCCTCACGCTCCAAAAAATTCAATGACGAATCTCGCAAGGGAACCTGTGCAAAATCAGCATGGTCACTGCCACCTCCACTACGTTGTTTGTGCAACAGAAACTCTTTGATTTCACCCCTTCCTTCCACATAACCTGAAACTATGAATTGCTGCAATGTTTCTTCCCACAATTTTCCCTCTTCTTCAGCCATTAATTCGCCAAGCAGAGCTGCACCCAAGCTCACTATTCCTCCGCCATATTCTGCATAACTATCACCAGGCGGCTCATGCTTGAAGTCTGTTTTGATGCCGAACCCAAAGGATTGAACCAGAAAATCGTTGCAAGTGAACCAAACAGAAGGCAAAAAAAACAAAGACCCGTGGCTGGAACATTTTTGTTGGTTGGTGTTGTTGTCAGATTGTACACTCTCGATTGCACACTCTTGTAGCAGTCATTTTATAGGAGCATGACGTTGGCGACTACGCTTCTCTCCTCTTCGTCTTTAATGACTGCAAATGTGTCCTGGTTTGTGACGTCAGTGGGCAGTGTAACACCATTGTAGTCGATGGGTGGTGTTGCTGAGATTTGCCCCTCTTTTGACAATATATGTTTCTGCCCCTTCACTGGAAATTCCCATTTAAGCCCGTTCCTTTGGTGTTTTTTTTTTTTTTTTATCAAATTCACAGGCCCACTTTACCATTCCTTCGGGTTGATTTTAGAACCTGGATATTAATTTGGGCTGGATCTAATATTTGGCCCATTCCCCCTCTTGACCTAATACTCTTCTCTGACGTTCGTCCTTCACCTTGTAGCTGCCTTCTCCATTCACGTCTGCACTCTTCTTCTCTCTGAAAACATTTCACGTCTGGTGGCTCTGGTAATGGTGGAGGATCAACATTGCACAATCTGAACTTTCCTCATTTTCCTTTGATCTTTACTGCATATGTCGTCTTTGTCATGCTCTTTTAGTGCAACAACTAGTGTCTAATTTCTATATATTGTCACTGTTTCGCCATGGCTTCTCCACTATCTTTGAGTCGCGCCAGCCACCTCTTTGATTGCATACTTCTTCTCAATCGTTTCAATCTCTTTCCTCCCTTCCATGTTCTCTGGTTTCTCTATCACAAAGACGAAAAAATCATTTTCATCTTCTGCCGCAATCACCTTTCCAGTTTTCCCCCCTCTGTGGTTTCCTCCTTCTCTTCTATTTTCATCTCCATTACATAACTAGGACGTCTCATCTCTGTCTCTGAATTCACATTTGAACTCAAAAGTTCATTCTGTGATCCATCGTCCAAACAAACCTCTGGTTGGAAATCATTGAAGAAAGCTTTTAAAAATGTCCACCAATTAACTCTTGGATTATACCAGTATCGGTACCAGATTTGAGCTTGACCAGTGAACGCCTTCCTAACATCCCAAGGCTTTGCAGTATCTAGAATTCTCTTTGCCTCGAAGTACCGCTCAACTTGAAGCAACCATCCCCAAGCTTCTTCTTCCCCAGAAAATGTAGGAATCTTCGTTCTGTAAAATTGATTTCTCATTTTTTTTTGGTGTACAAAGCTCCCCAGATCAGAGAGCTATGATACCAGTTGATAAGATCCAAATTACAAATTCAACAAAGAATAACATAACACAAGCATTTTGTTCTAGAAAATCCAGATTTTCTGATATATATTGAAGAAGAAACACAATTACAGTAAAGAAAAGAGAAAGAAACGAAATGCAGAAAATAAAGCTATTACAATGTGATAACTAGAACAGCCAAAGGTGCAACACATTCGAGAGGTGCGCTCTCTCCCAAGTCCAATTCCAAAATCCAGTCTCCCCCTTCTCACTCCTCGTTTTCTCTATTTATTCCCATTTCATGATTTGTTTCACGTTGCTAACAGAATCCTCCTTTACACCTTACATAATATTCTTTTCTAACAACCTTGCTGACTCAGCATTAGAGAATAATCCTCTATACCTTTTTCTAAATTGCACCCTTATTGCGGGTATCCTATCAATAATTTATACAAGAGTAAATGAGAAAAAACAGAAACAAATTCAAATCCCTATTATAGGAAAAAATAAATCTCTGCTTAATAGGCTATTAATCAGGGATATGATTGCATCCCAAATAAAAACAGAAAGATTCTAATCCTGATTTTCTACATAAATATTACATGATCTTAAGTAAACATGCCAAAATAGTAATTGCATAAATATATATACACATATATGCAATTTTTCTGGACATGGGTTGATCATTTGTGGGTGTTGATTCCACAGTGCTGTGAAAGCAGACTTCCTGCTCCTTGCATTTCTAGATGATGAAGGAGTGGTTCTCTCTCTTGTTTTGTAAGGGAATTGATAGCTTTACACAGGGTTGTGTACTTAGCAACTAAATCCTTGTAGTGACTTAATAATATGTCCACATCTTCAACTGCTAGCTCTTCACTTTTTGCTTCCATGTATGGATAATTAGATCCATGTTGCAGGGCTTGACAAACTGCAAGGTGTTATAGTGATTGCGATAGGGGCAAGAACTCGAGCAGCATGCAAATAATAAACAACTACCATAATATAAGTGACTTATTAATAGAATAACAAGTTAAACTAACCTCCAGTATCATCAAGTTTGTTGTGCATTTTGTTTGAAAAATTGCACTCATTCTTCCCTTGCTGGCTCATTTGACACGTAGAGGATAATTTACTTGTGACATTATAGGTCAATTTGGCTGCTTGCATGCTCTCCTCAAATTTGATTTCATCCATTGAAAGGGACTTAGCATTTAAGTCCAATATAAATGTCTTGGCTGACACAAGATTTGTGAAATAATATTCAGCTTCTGAGATAAGTTTTGCTTGCCTTCTGTACAACTTGATGAATTTGAGGTTAGAATGCAATTTTGGAGGATTTGCCTGAAAGTGACAAGCCAAAAGGAAGAAATTAATATCAAAGGGTCGGATGAAGTGGACACTAGAGGCCTAAAATCAATCAAAGGAAAAACTAATCTTTAATCTAAACATTTTCATGTGTACATGACACTGCAGCCTGCATCATGAGGAGGCTTATCAGCACTAGAAATTGAAATCACAATGCATTCTTATTTGGCAAACCCCTGTGCTCAAAGGCTTCCTGACTTTGCAGGGGTGGGGGATAGGGTCAAACCCGTGACCTTTTAGTTATAAAACAGCAATGTTACCACTGTTGAAGGCTTCCTTACTTTGCAAGGGTAGTGGATAGGTCAAACCCGTGACCTTTTAGTTATATAGGAGCAACGTTACCACTACTGAAGGCTTGCCCTCACAATGCATTCCTATTCTTGATAAAAAATCTTAATACTAAATTCTCTAAATAGAGCCTTTTAAATCGGGCTCAAGAATGAATTTTCCAGGATCAAATTAGTGGAGGCTGAGCTTTGAGCTATGGTTCAAGCCAAGCATTTTAGTATTCTACTCATGAGCATTTCTGGTCTTCAGATCTATTTTGACTTCAAATAATTTTACAAACAAATAAAAAAAATAATAACAGTAGAAATCAAGCATGCTTATCATTGAGCAACAGATTGTTGATGACCCAAAACTATGTTTGACAATCAGCAGAATGCCTTATTACCAAGGGGGGCTTGCCTTGATAGTGACATATATGAGCACAGGGAGAAAGTCATCAGCCCCAGCTGGCACATGCTCAGATATTGCAGTGTTGAGTAATAGATTGTTGATGACCCTGCAGCAATTCATAATGCTCAAGAGTTTCTCATGGGGAGCTTTGAAAGCATTGATTTTCTGCAATTCTTTTTCTGCAAGCTACATGGAAAGGGAAAATGTTGTCAACAGTCATCATACTCATCAAGAAATTAGGCATACTTCCTATAAATAGTTCATATTAGTAGAAAAGCCGAAGGCCTTTTATCTGAATTTATGGAATTGATGTTAACTTAATACAGTTTTAAATCCCTTTTTTAAATTTTCAAATTCCTCTGTCCATTTGTGATTTAGATATGGTGCTTGTTCATATAGTAAATCACCAGTTCTCCTAACCGGGCTGCACATCCCCTTCAACCTTTTATCAATGCTAAAGTTGAATAATTTATAAGACGAGTGAAAGTAAGTTTGTTTTCCAAGGCTTAGGTGAAAATTTTCTTAGACATTTCTTCTAGGTGTGTGCTACTGTTCACAAGATAAAATTATCCATGGAAACTGTTTTCTCAGGCCTTAAAATGCTAATAAATTAACAATTTTCTTCTTCTTGTATTGACATAATTTCATTGAGAACAGTTGGTAAAAACTGAATGGTAAGAAAAAGTATGATTATGCAATGTGGTAAGACAAAGCCTATCCAATGTAATAACTCGCTAGAAATGAAACGCATGCCATCAGAAAGTAACAGCTTAACATAATCATGCATCCTGATGAGGCATACCAGCCATGAAGCTTCATTATGAAGAATTGCTGGTATATCCAAATGTTCAGGCTTCAGAAAGGTTTGGAGCAAGCATATTTTCTCGGAGATTTCATGGTCAATCTTTGCATCCTCAGGAGAAGCAGAGAATGTCCGGGAGAACAATTTAGTCATTATATATTTCTCTAAACCCTGCAGATAATACATAGTAGTTAGATAAATATGCCAAATCAAAGGCATCCTCCATGATGAAAGGGAAATAGAGACATCCCTATGCTTCGGTTGAAAATCTTAAGAGCCAATATCAACTTACAATATTACCACAGTAACTTACATTTGGGAAACTACATATATTATATTCCGAAACAAATATAATATTGTTGAATGATTCAGTATCCTTGTTGTTTAGATTTTATAGGCGGTGCTCAGCCTTTGTGTGTTCCACAATCAAATGGAGAAGCAAGTTGTTAAAATTATAGGGTTTGCTTAAGAGGAAGGAGAAAAAGTGAGAATATCGACCCAGAATAATAAGATATTAAATTGATATGGTGTATTATTATTATGATGTGATGCAGAAGATAAATTACTAATCTTTATTTATACCAAAAATTAGGAAAATTACTGAACTCTTGGTCCTAATCAAATATGAGAACAGGGAACTTACTAAAGATAGAATAAAATTCTTAAGAACAAAATAAGGTTCCTAACAAGATAAGATCTCTAAAAAATAAGGTACCACAATTATCTCTAATCTAACATAAATTGTCCTAATTTTTTGTGCTGTATTAACATTCCCCTCAAGCTGAAGCTAGTTTTAAGCTTGTTGCAAGTTATCATTTAAATGAAAAAGTAAACAACATAAATATAAAGTTCGTTTCATAAAGCATGATTGGAAAAACAACTCAAGGATGTTGGAGATGTCAGAAAAACAAGTATTGTTGCAAAGATAACTAAGCAAGATGGCAGCATGACAGAAAAGGCCTTATTGTATTTAATGTAACTTCTACCCTGAACTACTTGCTAAGACAAAATTGCATTCAGAACTAACACACAGAATAGCATACATAGTTATGTTTGTGAATGTACCTCCATCGCACAATCAATGTCTTCTTCAGTAGCAGTGGCCCACAGTGGATGATCTCTGATTGCAACTTCCATTGATAGAAAGAAGTCTTGAACTCTATTTGCATCATTTTCAGGTTTCGGTTGGTAAAATGAAAATGATACAATGAAGCTGATAAAATAATTTCCCATTAGGAGTAAGATAAGCACAAAAAAGAGAACAAAATCTTACAGAAGCAATTAGTAATGACAGAAGCATAACAATATTCAAGTCCAAGACCATACAAAATTTTACAGAAGCACGAATGTTAAATCTATTTCCTATGGTTGAAACTGGAATCGTTTGACCAACATCAACTGGAACAGAGCAACACTTTTATCGAAATCACCACAAAATGTTTAGTGCAATGAAATTTCTTGACATATAAACGGCGTTTGATGCTTATTAAAGGACAATATAAACAATATAAACATAAAAGGACAGCATAAATGTCAGATCACATAATAATTTTTTGTATTGTTAACTATTCCGATGCAAAGGAAGGACTAAAAAAATTTGTGACAAATGTTTCTCTTAACCCTACAACTAATGGCAAAACTAGAACAAATAAATGCATAACAAAGTCAAAGATACCACAAAACATTGAAATTCATTAACAAAAAAAAAAAAAAAAAACTAAAAGGGTTAGGTTAATTGCCTCTTGATGGGTCGTACGAGGTTAAGGGAAGCAGGGTGTCGCATGCGATGGAGAAAATCATGGAAAGACGTTGATGTTGACGACGTTGATCCATCCATGTCCATTGGAAAATCCGAAATCAAGAAAGGTTCAAGGTATAAGGATTGAACTGAAGAAGAAGAAGAAGTAACAAGTTGCAATGAGAACGAGACCATTAGAAAGGAACGTTAGGTTATGAAGGTTACGTGATTCTCTTTTTTCTATGCAACAACCAGTAAGCCTTATAACTGTTAGTTAAGACATAACTTTCTAGTCACGCAATGTTTTTAACTGTTAGTTGAGTTACGGTCCAACTTTTATTACTGTTAGAGAATTGTCTAAATCTGAAAAGAAGGTCAATTTAAAATAAGAGTAAATACCTTTTTAGTTCCTCGCAATATTTACGAAGTCCTTTTCAGTCTCTAGCAATAAAAGAAGGGACAAATTGGTCCCTGAAATAACAAAAAAGAGGCCACGTTCATCCTTCCGTTAACTCCCACCTAACGGCTCAACTAACGGTGCACAGTTGGCACGTTAGTTTGCTGACGCGGCTTGGATGTGGGACATCGTGGAAGACGAGACGACGACGTTTTGGTCCCTGTCAAAATGCACGAGAACATTTTTAGTCCCTGACAAAAAGCACGGGGCTCTTATTGGTCCCTAACCACAGAAAAATAGGCACATGATTTCATTGCTTTTCTATGCAGTCCAATTTTGCAAAACAAAAGTGCATTACATCAAAAACAGGAGTGCAATCCATTTGTTCATCACAAAGTAAGTAAACTAAATTTCATCACAAAGTAAAATACTCCTTCTTGACATTTTATTTCAATAAAGTTTGTGTTTCTAATTGAAGTTTCGACCTTGTTAACGATTATTCATTTCTTTTTCAATGCTAATTAAGCTTCCCACTTTGTTAAAAGAGATTCTTGGCTTTTGCAAACAGCTTTTACGATCTCTAGAATACTATGAACTTCTTTAATTCTCTTAGTCTGTATAAGACATAGCGTTATGCGATTTACGAACAATATCTCCAGTAGTGTAGTAATACAATTATACTATTTATTTTTCTATAAAAGATAATTGCATGATTGTTGATATTTAAATACATAGAAAAATCAGAGAAGAAGCCAGGTAAATGGTTGTTGATAATTGCAATACATAGCAGTTGACTGGACTGCAGCAGTTGGTAGTTCTCAGCCACATGAAGGCAACTTGAGAGGAAGCAGTCCACCTCTATCAAATCCACAACAGGCAAATAAGCTATTGAGTAATGAAACAATGAATGCAACAACCAGTGGTACACGAAGTAGATTATTGGCCTTCATGAGCACACCTGGTTTTAGGCCACCAAAGTCTGCCTCAAGAAAATGACCTGCTGTTGTATATGACCTGGGAGTAGTGCATGAGCCAACTGAGAAGGGTTTATTATTATGTGACTGACTTTTTTTGAAAATTCTGGCCATTATGTATTTGGAGGCCTTTCTTTTAATTCTTGGCAGTTGGCTTTATTTTGTAATGCACTATTGTACATCCATGTCATCAAATATAATGATACTCAAATCATGTTCTAGCTATTATGTTTCACAGGGTTGATGAATGTTTAAGTTTACCATTTTTGATGTTTTTTAACTAATATACGTAGTTGTAGTTCTTGTACATCCATGTCTTCTGGTTTAACAAATTGGACTGCATACAAATCCAATTTAATGTCATGTTCCTATTTTGCAAAATTTGATTGCACTCCTGTTTCTGATGTAATGCACTTTTGTTTTGCAAAATTGGACTGCATAGAAAAGCAATGAAGTCATGTGCCTATTTTTCTCTGGTTAGGAACCAATAAGGGCCCCGTGCTTTTTGTCAGGGACTAAAAAGGTCCTCGTGCATTTTGACAGGGACAAAAATGGCCCTCGTGGTTTTGACAGGGACCAAAACGTCGTCGTCTCGTCTTTCACGGTGTCCCACATCCAAGCCGCGTCAGCAAACTAACGTGCCAACTGTGCACCGTTAGTTGGGCCGTTAGGTGGGAGTTAACGGAAGGATGAACGTGGCCTCTTTTTTGTTATTTCAAGGACCAATTTGTCCTTTTTTATTGTTAGGGACTGAAAAGGGCTTCGTGGATATTTCCAGGGACTAAACAAGATATTTACTCTTAAAATAATTTGGCGTAAAAAATTGGTTTAGGGGCAGTGGTATACCTATGGGAGTTCCATCGAGCTCGGTGGAAAATAAAAATAAAAACTAGTGAGAAAAGTGAGGAGAGAAATGTTAAATTTAGACGAAACATTAAATTTTATTTATAAGGATTTCCAATTCAGGTTTAACTTTGGTTGATGATGTCATGTCAGAAATATTTGGTCTATTACACTCACATAAACATGAGCGAGTCTCGTTGTTAAGAGAATAAAGAGAAAAATTTGAGAGAACCCTTTCACTTTTACGTAATTGTGGCAGACAAAGTATTTCTGCAACAAAAGCAGAAATAGTTTTCCTATTAATAATATTTCATATATAAAATATGATATTAGTGTTTATTCTTTTAAAAGACATAAAATTATCTTATTTTAATTAAAATTACTGTATTTTATGATGAGAGAAACAGAAATCACGTTATCACATTGAGAGAAAATAAAAAAACAATATTTTTTAATTAAAATGACTGTTCTTTAAAAAGACTAATTTTTTTCCTATGAAATATTTATTGAAATATGAAAAGCAGTTTATTCGATTGATTGTTTGATTGAACAAGAAATGTTCAGCTAACCGGAGTTGGTGTTTCTATGGATATGTAGCGAAGATGCTTGATAAGGGAGTGAATATTTAGTGGTCCCGGCACATGTGGGTCGGGAAAAGAGAGAGTGAGAGAAAAATAGAGGAGAGAGGAGAGAGGAGAGAGAGGTAGAAATAAGGAGGGACCATGAAATATTTTTGGGATGAATCAAAACCTCCTGCCAACTGTCCAATTATAAAATCAAAGGGTGTGTCTATACGAGACAATATTCAAGGCTCCCAGCCTTGTGGTCCTTGTAGAGAGAATAGGAAGGAGAGAGAGAGAGGGAGAAGAAAAAGAGGAGGGACCATGGAATAAATTCTCGTGTCTATACATGATGGAAGATGAGAATGCTCTCGATTGCAAAAGAGAATTAGTGTTCAACGTGTGCGTAAAAAAAAAAAACCAAAAAAAACTTCTACTCCCTTCACTAATATGGTCATGTAACTAATCCAAAAACATTCAAGCTTAGAAATAAGCACATCTTTAAACTATTTTATAGAACAGAACAAATTTATGACCGCAACTGTTAACTATGTTTCTCTTTGTAAAGGTCTGATCTTTACTTGAACTCTGTGCATAGTGAGGATTTTATAATAGCAAACTGCCCTTTATAGTTGTTGAAGCACTAATTACCTCAATTCTCTGAGATAAGCAAACATTTGCTTCAAGTGTAGCCAGTCTTTTAGATGTGCTGTTAGAAATGTTCATTTTATTTCTTTTAAGGTGAGTACATGTGTGATCGACATATGAAATTGTGCCTTAATCTGAAAATGAATTCATCTCATGTGAGTTTTTTTTTTTAATATTACAAGGTTACATGAATAAAGAAATAGACACAAGGACCTAAACAAAGCCTCACAAAATTTTTGACAGCATAGTTTAAGATCTGGAACTCAATCAAATTAGTGCTGCCTCATTTGCCGAGTGTCCCAGTGGCAGATATCTTTGTTGCTAGGTGCTAGTTGGGTTGAGTCCAATTTCTTTAAATTCACAACAAATGGATCTGCTGTTGCTGATATTCTTCAATCAGTTTCATTTCATCACAGAGACTTGAAATATCAGGGATTATCCCTCCATCATAATACCTATATATCCCATCCCCTACTAAATCATTTAACAAAGAAGCTGGTTCTCTAGCTCCTCCATGCTGTAAGAACTTTGTTCTTAAAGCAAATCCTGTATTTAGTGATAGCGGATCCTCCTGGCACAATTTCTTCCATATGGTTGCAGCAAAACATTTGGCATACAAATAGCTATAATACCCTGCACAAAAATGAAAAAGAAGTATAACAAAATGTTCAACTGAAATTGAAAATTACTATAATTGAATAATTTCAAGCTGCAAGGGAACATGTTTTTGTGGCATTAATAGGATAATTAAAACTATAACAATTATCAAATGTACCGTAAAGAACCAATTTAATCCAAAAGCTTAAGCTATTAAGTAAGAGCCACTTTAATGGTTTTATATTAGACTTCTCTAACACACTCCCTCACACAAGAGCTCATTGGGCTTGAAGGTTGTTAAACATCCATCTCACCTTAAAGCTCAAACTGTTAAGGGTCACTTTAATGGCATTATTAAATTCAAAGTGTTAAGGGTCACTTTAATGGCATTATTAACTTCTCTAACATGTACAAAACCCTTGGCATTATTAATATTAAAAATTAAATTCAAAGTGTTCAACCTTGTTGAAGCACAATATAGAGGAAAGCACTTTATCCAAGGGAATAAACTATTTCCTGATCAAACCCACTATTGAAAACTAATGAATCCTATCCTTCTCAGTTCTCATAAATCTAGCATATGTTGATATAAACAAACATTAATTTATTGACATTTCAGTATGCTAAACATCAATGAAACAGTTCAAGGGATTAACGCAAAGATCAGACTTCAGACGCACCTGCACCATAATTAAGGAGATGACTAAATCGGGTCTCCCAATGTGTGCCTTCCACATGTTCCCAATTGGTATGCTCTCTTTTCAGTTCTGCAACAACAGAACTACTATCACCAAGAGGGCATGGCTGTTCTCCAAAAAGTGTCTGGTCAACTAAGGCATACAATATCTGACAGAAAACACAATGAAACTATGTTAATTATGTTTTTTTTTTTTTTTTTTTTCATGAATACAAAATTGTACTGACTTCAGACACCATCCTGTCCCCCACACAGACATAAAGATAAAAAGAAAACACCTGACGTTGCAAATCGGTTGCAGCAAACATATCTCTGGCACCCTGCATTGCCTCAACCAGCTTCTTAGGGATTTCTTCCCCAGTTGAACAGTGTCTAGCAAATGTTTTCAAAACTCGATAATCCCATGCATAGTATCTATCCACCAAAAATAGTACCAAGTCAGTCACAATCTAGCAGATCAATTCCACAGCATCAGCAGCAGCAACTCTTTCCTTATTTACATCATTAAATGAAAATATTTTCCTTTAATATAGCCTTATTTATCTTATCATATGCCAAAAGTATCCTTTAATTATCATATTAAATGCCAACATTTTCCCTTAATACAATTTCTAGACTTAAAATGAAATTTTTTTTCAAGCATTACAAAATTTGGAGCTTAATTTTTTGTTGAGAAGAAATTCAGTAACAAACGTCTAATGCTACCTAAGGAAAAATCAAATTCAGAATGAAAATGTTTGCATCTGATGCATTTAGATATTATATATAAGTGAAAATTCAAAACCAAAAATCAGATACTTTTCAAGGTCCCTCAAATCACAAAAACCCTATTATTTTTCTTATTTCATTTATGATGCTAAGTCCCTTTCATTTTATTACAAATGCATGGCCAAAGCCACAACTTTTAATAAATAAGTCAATTACAAATGACTGAAACCCTATTTTGGTTCCTGACAGTTGATTTTGTTCTTAATTTCATCCCTAACTCTTAGTATTCTCATGATATTAACAAAATCACTTTAATTTTGGTCCCTCCATTTCTGTACCATTACCAACTAAATGGAAATGATGATGTATAACCGTTAAGGGTTACATAGGCACTATGCGTTATATTCCAGCATGGCACTTGGACAGTGCCTACTAGGTTGCTTCAGGAAACAAATGAGAACAAAACTCACAATTTGGTTCCTGAAATTCGATTTCACCCACAATTTGGTCATTGACTAAAATAAAAGATCTCGTTTACTGTTAAGACATAACATATTAGCCCTACAAATTTTATAATAATAATAATAGAAGAATGATCAAGACACATTATATGGAAAACAAAACTCAAATCATAGTGATATAATCTTTCGCTAAAATTTTGTGTTAATATTATAAGGGTTCTATGATATTCTTTATCTTGATCAGTCTTCTATTGTTATATAATTCTCAAGGAAAATTTGTTATGCCTCAATTGTAAATGAGATTTGACAGTTATTTAATAACTTATCAAAGTGAGCTTTTGTAGCCAGGGACCAAACTGTAGAGAATTCAAATGTTAGGTATAATAACCGGCATAATTAAAAGTCACTAATTGGGTATAGATGTGTCATTAAGGGGGATAAATGAGGGTTTGTGAAGCAAAATGGCAAGATGACATCAAGTGACTGCTCGCTGGCTTGCTCACTGAAGTGAAGGTTGGGGTTGATTTGAGGTGAGCTTTGGTGAGTTTGTTGAGTGTCATGAAATGAGAGTTAGGGTTTTCTTGGTATTTTGGGGAAAACCGAAAATGGCACTTAGATTTGGTGTTTGATGCTTGGTGTTGTATGTTGTTATGCATAGGGTTGATGTTGGTGGTGATGATCTTGGTGTGGAACCACCCTTGAGCTAGGCTCTTGAGATTTTCAGCAAAGGAGGTAAGTTTTGAGCCTATTTTTTGATTATTCATGAGCTTTGAGTTGTGATAATTGTGTTTATGTAACATTGTTTGTAACCACACACTTTGAATAGGTCTTGTTGGTGATTTTGGTATTGTGAACTTTGAAGTGTTGGGACTGTTTTGGGAACCTAGAGGAGCAAGAGGATAACACCATGACGGGTAAACTCTTAGACCTTGAGGGATTTTTCCCTTTGATGTTCCACCACACTCCATGAGGAGTTGGGTTTGTATGGCATATTTGTGTATTGGTATTGAAATTGGGTGTTGTTGCTTTAGATTGTGAATGTAATGTGCTATGTATGATTGCACGATTGGATAGATTCTCTGGCCAGTAGAATTGATTGTTACTAGCATTCCGGGGATGGCCGATGGACTTGAGGAATGACTTGGTTGGTGTTGATACACCTTGTGCATGGTTATATGCTGATTATTTATGAGTTTTGTTGCAAAACGCCATTTTGATGCCTGCATATCATGGAAGTGAGCTCAGGGTTGGAGGAGTCTCCAAGGACCCTGAGTTTACTGAGATTGTATCTCACCCCATGTGGGGATTATTTTTCAGGTACCCCGAGTGGCACAGATGATGTTTCCCGTGGCAAGAGGCCCAAGTAGGGAATGTGGATATTTGTATTTATTTTGTACCCTTTGACATAATAGCATGCTGGTATCATATTTTGGAGTTGTATATTGTATGTTTTGGTTATGTATGTAATTATGTCAAAATGGGAGAACTTTTGAGCCAAGATAATTATGTTGAGGACATTGGCATATGTATTAATCAAGATTTTTGGAAGGATTAATGTATTTTGTAAACATTGTATCTTAATGCTATTTATTGTGTAGAAGCCATAATCTACCATTTTATAAGGATTGATGTAAAGGACTTATGAAATTTCCAATGCACTATTGTTAATTGTCACTTTAACAATTGTGTATTATATGGTTAAAGATGTAGTTGAAAAGTATAGTGAAACATGTGTGAACGTTGTTGAAAACCATTGAGATGGTGTGATATTGTATACATGTTATGGAATCCATTTATTGATCAACTAGGTACACTTGAATGTAAAGAAATGGAATATTGCATCTCTAGGTTGTTAGTGGAAAACAAAGGAATTACTTTTTGAAAAATAGGGCCTGCTCGCTGAATTGCTTGCTTAAGCGAGCTAGCCTGATGATGACAGTGGCTTCGGTTTGAAAAATAAATTGCTCGCTAATCTTCTTGTAAGAACCCGCACGTTAAATAAGGAATTTAACTGATTAATTATGTTAAATTAGGAAATGATTCCATAATTGACCCTAGTAATTATTAAGAGGCTTTAATAATTATGATAAGTGATTAAGAATGCTGAAAGTCGCTTTTCGGAAGAAAAGTGCAGATACCGGTTCTGCTAGTCGGTATAAATGCGTACCGAAAAAGTATCCCGGAAAATTATAATAAGTACATGATAATTACTAGAATAATATATAGGACTTGTAAAACGAGTTTTAAGTCAATATAATGAGAACTGGTGCCAGAAACTGATACTGGCTATGAAAAGCGCGTACCGGAAAGGTGCTCCGAAAAATATAATAAAAATATGATAATTCTTGTAAAATTGAGTAGGTTAAGAATCCAAAGTTTGAGATTAAAATGCTAAGTGTAGCAATTAAAGTTAATACTGTGTGTTTATTGAGTAAGTGGCTATAAATACCCTTATTATGGGCATAAAACCCTAAAATCAGATTTTCCTACGTGACTCACTAGGTGGCTGAGGGTTGGCTACTGTTCCATTGCCTCTTTTCACCATTTTTGGAGCTCAAGTTGTCACCTTTGCTTGGGTTCTTCATCCTTGAGCTTGTATACACTTGAGAGTTATCCTTGTGAGGGTTGGAGGGTGCATTTTCTGAGTCTTAGCCACTGTTTGAGTCAGTCTTGAGGGCTGAGTTTGGAGGTTGAGTAGTGGAAGCCTTGGTCTTGCCATTTGTGAGCTCCAAATGTCAATCTTTGTGAAGAAAGGAGCCATCTTGTTGTGCATTTTCGTACACCTTCTTAGTCAGAATTGTGAGGAGCCACTGGTGAGCTCCAAGAGCACTTCATCCTCTGTTTTAAGCCTTGGGGTGAGTTGCCTAACCTTTGGTCATGTGTTTTGATGATTAAAAGAGGTGTCTTTGCATGAAAATGAGTTTAACATGTAACCAACTGTTAGTTGAACCTAAAATTGATTAAAGATGCATGCTTGGACGTTACATTGGATTAAAAATGGAACCTTTGAAGGATATCTTCGCGAAATGCATAAACTGCTTTCTGTCGCGAAATATCCGGATATTTGCTCGTGAAATATCCAGATATTGATATCCAGATATATGTATCGGATATTGATATCCGGATATGGGGATCTGGATATCCGGATATTGATATCCAGATATTTCCAAAGAGATATCTGGATATTGCATATCCGGATATGCCCCGAGGAATATCTGAATATTCTGGGATTTCGAAGAACAGTAGCTGTGCTGTGAGGACAGTAGGCTATTGGGGGTTTGTGGACTCTAGATTGATGAAGTTGAACTTCTGTAATTAATGAACTAAGTCAGAATCATGTGATTAAGGGCTTGTGGCTTTGTTGGAAGCCTTAAGACTTAAATCGTAAAAGGAGAACGTAGTCTTTATGTTAATGCTTTTGAGCTATGTATGTTGATACACTTGCTGGTCCTAAATCAGATTGTGATCTGCTGTGTGTTGGACTTGAGCTGTGAGGACTCTTGGCATTGGATAGTGAGCTTGCAAGGTAAGCTTTCGTGTCCTCGGTTTAGCCATGTTGTGGTTCCACCATGTCCCATGGGGGTATGGTTATATGCATGCTGACTTGTTGGATGCTGGATATGCATGCTGCTTTTATGATTTGAGCTTCATTTTATGTTTATGATTATCTTGTTGAGACGCTGTTGATTTGGTGAGCATGGGGATTGTCCATGACACATAGACTAGTCATGTCTTAGTTTTATTTGGAGTTGTAATAATGTATCAGGATATTGTCCGGATTACGTGATGTAATACCGTGACTTAGATACTCACTTTATATGTTATATTGAGGTATTTCAGTAGATGTCTTATTGCAATTTACATTCAGGCGATATTTTATGAAATTGATTAAGTAATCAAGTTGGTAATTGATAATGACGTCAAAATTGAAAAGAAAAAGAATATTCCGCATTTTTAATTAAGCGTAGCTTAATACGATGTAATGATAATACTACCGGATATATACGGGGTGTTACACTTCTCGCTTTAGCAAGCAGATCAGGGAGGAAGCCTAATGCTCGCGGACACAAGCTCGCTTAAGCGAGCATCCTAGCGAGCAGTGATGAAATATGGATACATCAAGGAAAAATAGTTAGAGGACTTATTATATGATAACTTAGAAGTATTTAAGCAATAATTAAGTATTGTTAAAGGAAGCATATATGAGTTTTAATATTTGTAAAGAAAGAAAAAGTTTATTTGTAATTCCGCGTTTATCTTATTTTAATTCCGCATTTAATTACTCTGATTTTAATACGCTTAATATTATAAGCAATGTTAACAAACCGTTTTAGAACGGGGCATTACATTAGGGACTTAATTATGAGTTTGAGTTGGCATTTTTAATTTTATTATAAAAAAAAACAAGTCAGCACTCCTGAAGTGCCATGCTGGACATAACAGTCCACTTGAATCTTTAACATTTAGACATCATCAGTTCCATTTGGTGGGTAATGACATAGAGGCACAGAAGGACCAAATCAAAGTGAACTTATGAATATCAAGAACTAAATTGGGAAGATTAAAATATCAGGACAAAAAATGAAAATGAAGTTAGATGTCAAGGACTAAATCAGTGTTTTAGTAAAAAATTAACAGGCTAAGAAAATAAAATTTTACAGATTTGGGTTTATATTTGAGTTTAAGTCTGTAAAAGAAAAGAAAATTAGGCAATTACACAACTTTAAATCAAGTATCATCTGTCAAACAACCAATTCAACCCAAAAGTTTAAACTGTTAGGTAAAGGCAGATCAATGATTTCATATTTATATTATATTTATAACACGTCCTCTTAGACTAGAGCCCGTTGGGCTTTAAGGGTGGACACTGCACACGCCCACTTATCTGTGCAAAGAAATACAACAATATTTAATAAAAAATTATTAGATGAATGGAAGCGACAAGGATAACTTGGATCATTTGGGAAATTTTGATACCATGTCACGCAACCAACTCTCTCAAAAGCTTAAGCAATTAGGTAAAAGTAGATGAATAATTTTTTATTTTATTATATTTTTAACATCATCCATTTAAACAACTTAACATCTTTTTTATTTTATATACCACCTTGATTTAAGGGTTAAGACTTAAAGAGCATAGTTTTGGCAACATTCTACTCATCATCACAGTAAAAGCAAATTCTACTCACTCAAAGAGGTTGGATGGTATTTCTGCAAAATCAAGAACTGTTCTGGTGCCTGAAAAATGTTGGTAGTCCTGCAATGAGAACATGACAGCATCACATTACAAAAATGACAGCAGTAACTTTTTTTCCAAACCTTTCTATTACTAATGTTCATTAAATGTTTGCAAAGGTAGTTTGGTTCATTACACAATATGGTAAGACAGTTCATATAATTAGAATTTCAAAACTCATTTAAACAATGTCTTTAAATTTAAGTCTATTTGCACAAATCATGTTGATATTTATGGCTTCAGAATATTTGATGAGAAAGATACTTCACTGCTATAAATTATACGTTATGATACTGATAACTGAACATGTTTAATGTGCTAATAATATAAATCATAAAGATACAGTAGCCAACAGAGAAGCTATGGTATATGGTTTATGTGGGGGAAGCATTGCTTTCTGACCCTGAATAATTGTTATTTCTGGGTTGTGCTTCAATATGCCAACTCTTGAATTAAGAAAGAAAGAAATAGCATTATCATTGTCATGAAACAACTTTCCCAAAACTTAAACTATTAGGTGTACACATGATTGGTTTTATATTATGTCTCTAATATTTCTCCTCAAGCAAGAGTCATTTGAGCTTAAAAAGTGAACAATATACAGGCTCACCTACCTTGTGCTGAAACTAAAGTAAAAGAGTGGGGATGACAAGGATCAAACTCTAGACTATTTGGTTACAGGGACTCTAATGTCATGTTAGGAACAAACTCTCCCAAAGTTTAAGCTATTAGGTGAAGACACATCCGTGATTTTATATTACATCTCTAACAATCATTACATTAACTAGAACTGGAGTAAATCTTACTTTATTATGTATTTATCTTTGTTATTTATACAATTTGATTGTTGATATTCCTTGTATATTGTTGACATTCATTGTAAACTTTAGTTTTGGAAATCTAAAATTGAGGGATTTGACTTTGTAACTGTAAAGAACCAATTCAATCCAACAGCTTAAGCTCTTGAGTGAGGCTACATTAGTAGTTTTATATATCTCAACACGCCCCCTCACACGAGAGCCCACTAGGCTTAAAGGGTGGACAATGCACAGGCTCACCTACCTGTGCGAACAAAGAAATTCCACTTGAAAGAAAGTGGGGGGCGGCGAGGATCGAACCCGGGACACGAGGCTCTGATACCATGTAAAGAACCAATTCAACCCAAAAGCTTAAGCTTTTGGGTGAGGCTACATTAATAGTTTTATATATCTCAACAGTAACCTTTCAATATAAATCAATGAGAGGTGATAGTATTTCTCTCAAGCAAATTCAAACAGTTTAGGGTTTTTCAAGTATGATTAACCCTATTATTAGGATACATTTTATATTCTTTAGAGAATAACACATTAATGATAAATAAAACAAATACAGCATGTTTTCAAAGCACCACTCACATAATCTAAATATCATTTTAATAATTCTTGAAAAGCATATTTGTCAATGTGGTTTCCCTATGTAAACTTGAACACAATTGTAGAGATATTTGAAAAACAAAAGTATTTAGCTTTGAAAACTGATATTTTATTTTATATTATAATTGCCTAATTTGCATTACCAACAGAAATTCCCCAAATGTTCATCTTTGATTCCACCACTTCATATAGCTTTGTCCTCATTTTGTAAAGCAACAGTTTGCTCATCAAAAGTTCAAGAGAATACCGTTCTTGAAAGCAGTGAATGAAGAGCATGTCCAAACTCATGAAATAGAGTTTCCACTTCCCAATGGTTAAGCCTTACAGCCGATGGATTACGTGAACCCGAAAAATTACAGACAAGAGCTACAATCTGCAAAATCAAAAAATAAAGCAACATCCAGAAGAATAAACAGTCTGCCTCCTCTATAGTGAATAGAGCAATTTAGTCAGTAAAGTGTGCTTAGATGAGTATTAATGTTTGTTTAAAAAATAAATAAATTTTGTTCTTAGGAAAAAAATATTTATTGAACAATAACAGTACATAAGTCCAAGAAAATGTAAACAGTTTATTACTATTTTTTATCATCAGTTATCCAAGCACAATTTACTAAGTACTCCTAACATTTAGGTCATGAGGGAAAATAACATGTAGCTTGTTTCAAGGTATCCAAAAATAAATAAGTTTAATAGAAATAAGAAGTCCATCTCCAATATGTCATAAACAAAGATAACATAATTAGCAAATGAAAAATGGGATAGGTTATTCTACATACCATTTTTTCTGCCTACCTTTGCCTACCACTTTAAAACACCATTAGATCAGAATCTTAACTAACATTTATCTTTCTCTCTCTTCTTAAGATTCTGATCTAACGGTATTGGAGGGTGGTAGGCAAAGGTAGGCAGAAAAAATGGTAGGTAGAATAACCTATCCCATGAAAAATATATGGAATAGTTTCACTAAAAGTTGCAGAAAGTGCAACCATAGTAGTTAATTGCGCCGCAAGCCGCGCCGTATGGGTGTTGCGGTCCCTCTCCGCAAGAAACCGCGCCACACCGGAACGCAATAGCGGCCATCGCGATCGCATTTGCGGCCAAATTGCGACCATATTGCTGTCATAAAGCAAAATGTCAATTTTGTCCTAAATTTAAATGTGTAAAAGAAAAAATTTAAGGATTTTTTAGTCTATCCACGTCTCTCTCTGCCTTTAAAAAATGTTTCTTTTTGTCATTATTTCTGTCATATATCCATTCCGTTATTCCACAACCGCAACCCGCTATAACGCTATAGCGTTTTTCGAGGTTGGCCGCGACATGCCGCAATCCGCATTTGATAACTATGAGTGCAACGAGATGCAATCATTGCCCCCACAATAGGTGAAAAATGCTATATTATTCCAATAAAGAATGACATCTAAATTTGCTTAACCTTAAGTTGAGAGTGGTATGAAAAGGTCCCTATTTGGAGTTTGATTTCACCCTCATTTTCACCATTATGCACTTGAGAAGAAACCAGAATAAACTTTAGGAGAGGTTTCTCTGAGTTGCTTGAGTGTTCTGCTCTCAGCATACTGATGTTTATATATACAGGGAACAATAAATACTTATATTTACAAGAATAATAAAGAATTGAACTTATTTTTGTCACCCTCATGTTTCCTATGTTGTCATAGTCCCATATCTTTTACTATTACTTGTCACATAATATTCACTGTATATCATTATAATTATTGTAAAGATTCTGTTTCCATAGACCAGTCATTATTTTAGGCAAGTAATTATTTAGTTAGGACTTTATAATAGACTGAACTAATGTACAATATTATTCAAAAGAAATATTAGTCAGTATTTTTCCATTCAACTCTGCTTCATCACTTCAGAAGGAGCTGAATAATAAGAGTAGTAAGCTTCAGTCCATTCTGATTTGGTTTGATTCTTCTCATTTTTCTTTCAATCAAAACAAGAGAATTTAGACCATTGATTCTTTTGGAGTGTTCCCTTATAAGTCATGTTTGCAGTTTCTTACACATTCTTCTAATATTCAAGTTGGTATCAAAGCAGGTTCTGACCCATCTCTGTTGAAGAAACCATAGTTCTGTTGCGCCGTGTGTCCTTCTGACAGTCTCGTTATAAAATTGTTGAAATATAGTGAATAACTCATACCGATTTTCCATTAAAAGTAACCAAAATACATCGAGAATAGTGACAAAGTATCTAGATCCCATAATAGACACAGTCCAACTTGGACACCTAATATCAAAATGAACTAAACTAAATGGAGACAAAGCACGACAAACAACTCTCTAGGGAAACGAACTACCCAAACTGACACGACACACCCTGCAAAGTAGACAATTTTGACAGACAAAACACTATCTTCTATAGCATGGAAGGACTAGGATGACCCAACTGAGCATGGACAATGAGAGGAGAATCCATAACGGAGCAAACATGAGTAGGGCTTGAAAGCTAGTAAAGGTCACTGGACTCATCCGTTGCCAATCGTCCTCTCCAAACATCGGTCTTACAAAACAACATAATCTTTAATAAAGAGATTGGCAGTGCCGGAGGCATAAAGCATATTATTAATAGAAATAGAAGGAAAAGGATTGGCAGTGCCAACCCCATGTGACAAAATTAAAGAGCCATTAGACTTGAAAAGAAAGAACTTGAAAAGTAGGATTGTATTATGTGAAAATTATATTTTACAAATGTACAAGAGCTCTCTATTTATAGATTGAATGACCTAATGGGCTAAACCCAAATAAGATTCTAGAATGAAAAATAAATAAAAATACATAATTACAAAACAATTATTTACAACACTCCCCTTAAGCTGAGGAATAGATATTTATCATTCTCAGTTTGCTAGTAAGCTCTTAAAATCTATCTGATGGAAGTCACTTCGTCAGAATATCAGCTAATTGACACCCAGAAGAATGTATGGAGTAACGATCAACCCGCTATCCAGTTTCTCTTTGATGAAATGACGATCGACCTCAATATGCTTAGTCCGATTATGTTGAACTGGATTATGAGCTATACAAATGGCTGACTTATTATCACAAAGTAGCTTCATAGGTCTTTCATATCTTATTTTAAGATCATCAAGTATAATCTTCAACCACAATAATTCACAAATGCCTTGAGCCATATATCGAAATTCAGCCTCTGCACTTAACTTGGCAACCACATCCTGTTTCTTACTCCTCGATGTCACTAAGTTACCACAAAGGAATATACAATAACCAATGGTAGATCGACGGTAAGTCACAAATCTAGCATAGTCGGCATCAGTATAAACTTCTAAAGAGAGATTGTCATCACACCGGAATAACAGTCCTTTACCAGGAGTGGCTTTAAGGTACTGAAGAATTCTCTCCACTGCCAGCACGTGTTTTTCTTTTGGATTATGCATGAACTGACTCACAATACTAACAGCATAAGCTAGGTCTGGTCTAGTATGAGCCAAATATATCAGTCCCCCAACTAGTCGCTGATATTGTCCTTTATCAACTGGACGACTCCTTTTCATAACCAATCTTGTGATTCTACTCAATAGGAGTACTAGAGGGTTTACACCCAAGTTTTCCTACTTCTTTAAGAAGATCAAGGACATATTTCCTCTGACTTAAAAAATTTCTTCCTTCGAATGAGCTACCTCTATCCCTAGGAAATATTTCAATCTCCCAAGGTCTTTAATCTCAAATTCAGAAGCTAGTCTTGCTTGTAGAACATGTCTCTCCGCAATACCAACCCCTGTTATAATACTGTCATCAATATATACAAGGAGCACAGAAAGCTTCCCATATTGGGAGTGCTTAAAGAAAAGTGTGTGGTCTCCTTAACTCTATTTGTATCCTAAGGTCATCATAACCTTATAAAACCTCCTAAACCAAACACGAGGTGACTGCTTCAATCCATACAAGGCCTTCTTTAACCTACAAACTTTATTTTCTCCATCCATAGAGTCAAAACTAGGCAGGATTTCCATGTTAACTTCTTCTAATTAACCATTAAGGAAAACATTCTTCCCATCAAATTGATTTATATCCCAGTTGTGATGGGCAGCAAGTTTCAACAAGGCTCTCACAATATTCATCTTTGTTACCGAGAAAAAAGTTTCTTCATAATCAATGCCATAGGTCTAAGTGTAACCCTTGGCGACTAACCGAGCCTTATATCTCTATAGAGTACCATCAGAATTATACTTTAGGGCATAAACTCATTTGCACCCGACTGCTTTCTTTCCATTAGGTTTATCAATAACCTCCCATATTTTATTTTTCTCCAAGACATTCATCTCCTCTTACATGGCCTGAACCCAATTCTCATCTTTTAATGCTTTGTGCACTGATTTTGGGATGGAAATGGAACCTAGTGCTGACATAAAAATTTTGTGCTGCATGAAAATGTTAATAGAAGAAACAAATTGAGAGATAGGATGTTGGGTGCAAGATCTTTTTTCTTTTCTTAAGGCAATAGGTAAGTCATCAGAGACACTGGGTAAATTATCAGAAGCAATGAGTAAGTCATCAGAGACAAGAATATCGTGTTCAGAAACAAGAGATTCAGGACTTACCAGCATTTGGTGCTAGAATCTTCTGCAAAGTATGCTAAGGATCACCTTATTGACTCAGTCTCAGTCTATTGCCGACTCTTTGATTTGGCTCCATCATAAACGCTTGGGGCATCCTCCATTTCGTTTGCTTAAATCTTTATTTCCATCATTTCTAAGTCTGTTGAGTGTTTTCATTGTGATGTTTGTGAGTTTTCTAAACACCATCAGATCTCTTTTCCTTCTAGTACCATTAAAAGTTTTGAGCCTTTTGATCTTGTTCATTTTTTATGTTTGGGGTCCTTTTAAAGTTCCTTTTACTTCTGGTAATAAATGATTTGTTTCTTTCATTGATGATTGCACTCGTGTAACCTGGGTTTATTTAATGCATGAAAAATCTAAGGTACCACAGTTATTCTTTCGATTTTATAAAATGATTGAGACCCAATTTGGTAAAAGAATTAAAAGACTAAGATTCGACAATGGTACTGAATATGTCAATCAGCGTCTTTCCAAATTCATCCAAGATCAGGGCATGATTCATGAACTTACTTGTGTGGACACTCCTCAATAAAATGGAGTTGCTGGGAGGAAGAATCGTCATCTTCTTGAAGTTGCTAGTGCCTTACTTTTTCAAAATCATGTACCCAAGTGCTACTGGGGAGATGTCATTCTTACTGCAGCTTTCTTAATCAACCGCTTGCCCTCTCGGGTCCTTGACAATGTAAGTCCTATTCACTCTATTCACTCAATGACTTCATTCTTTCCCTTTGTTCCCTCTATGCAGAGTCTTCAGCCACGAGTGTTTGGGT